CTGGCCACCAAGCACGGCGACGCCGTTCCGCATATCATAGTCACTGAGGCCAGGGACTGCGTGGGAGGCAACATCATCACCGTCGAAAAGGACGGCTATCTCTGGGAAGAAGGCCCCAGTAGTTTTCAGCCGTCCGATCCCATGCTCACTATGATGGTATTGCTCTCTACTTCTCTATTCTGCTCTGGCAGCGTTCTCGTTCTGGCATTCACATTTACATTGAATTAATTAATTTAAAATTAGTCAACTAGAACTTAGATTAGACTGCTAGTGAGTCTGCTAGTGCTGAGCTAGTGGTTGGGGCATTCAGGATTCTTCCTTAGTATATGAGTAATGACTGTATAAATAATGTATGTATATTGATTTGTGTATGGGGTATTTCTTGTGTTTGATAGGTGGACTGTGGTTTGAAAGATGATCTGGTTCTTGGGGATCCAAATGCACCTCGGTTCGTGTTGTGGGATGGCAAGTTGAGGCCCGTGCCATCCAGCCCAGCCGACATACCTTTCTTTGACTTGATGAGCATCGGTGGCAAAATCAGGGCTGCCTTTGGTGCTCTTGGCGGTCGCCCTTCTCCACCTCCTCCAGTTTGTTCTCTTTCTTTTACTTTATTTTTCATTTGTTATGTCACCATTTTCACTCATTCCTCAATTCATCAAGTGCACTGCTCATTCCACATAATCTTTGACAAAAGTGACAGTGTCTTGAAGAATCGGTTGAAGAGTTTGTTCGCCGTAATCTTGGCGATGAGGTTTTTGAACGCTTGATTGAGCCTTTTTGTTCAGGTCATCTCCATTTTCAATAATTATGACTACATAATTAACTTCTTCTCGTGCATTTCTCTAGTTACTCTAATATTCATTTGCTGCTTCCTTCTATTTGGATCCTAAGATGGGTTCGGACTCAAACCTACCCAATTGTTGCGTATCCCATTCAAACTTTAACCACAATAAAAAATGAAAAAGAATTGTTGTTCGCACTTTTGAATCGACTTCTTCATTTGTTATTTATGCAAGCAAGCGCCCTGTGACATCATGTGACCTTACACAATTTTTATATGGCACTTTTAACTGAACTGGCATTATTTCACACAGGATCTGAATTTTAACCACATTTATTTGTTCAGCCATGCTCACTTATCTATGTGAACTATACTTGTCAAACTAAGTGCATAAAGCGTCCTGTAAAAGCTGTTCAGTTAATTTGGTAAATTGGTATAAGTTCATTAAATTTTTAAAGTGGTGTAGCTTTTTGTCACTTCAGCAGGTTATAGTGACTCTTTAATTACTCCGAAACTTTTGTCATTTTCAGGTGTTTATGCGGGTGATCCTTCAAAACTGAGTATGAAAGCAGCATTCAGAAAAGTTTGGCAGCTAGAGCAAAATGGAGGTAGTATCATTGGTGGTGCCATTAAAGCAATCCAGGGGAGAAACCGTGCCCCTAAGACACCTCGAGATCTGTAATAATAGATTTGTGTCTTTGATGTTATTATGATTTAACTTGTAAAGTTTATTTTCAATTCCCTAATTTTATTTTTTCAATAGGCGTCTCCCGAAACCAAAGGGCCAAACAGTTGGATCTTTTAGGAAGGGACTTGGTATGTTGCCGGATGCAATTTCTACAAGGTACTTTCTTTCAACAAAGGATAAATTAGTTGGATGGTCATCCTTCTTTGTTAGCAAGGAGAGAACATTTGTAGGTTTTTTTATTTTATAATTTTTTTCATGTGCAACACTTGTTTTTCACAGCCATATGGTCATACTTTGTTCTGTTGTGTTAACAGGTTGGGAAGCAAAGTAAAATTATCTTGGAAGCTTTCAAGTATCAGTAAATTGGATAAAGGAGGGTACACTTTGACCTACGAAACACCTGAAGGATTGGTTTCAGTTCTTAGCAAAAGTGTTGTGATGACTGTTCCATCCCATGTAGCAAGTGGTTTATTGCGTCCTCTATCTGTATGTTTCCGTCCTACATGTTTGTTATCTTTATTGCCATGTGTTTGACAGTTAAATCTTGATTTCGAGGCATTTACAGTTGGGATTTTCAGTCGAAGTTTTTTTTTTTGTTCTTTTTTTTGTTCTGTAAGGACATGTCTCTGTAAATAGTGGTGATCAACAAGACAAAACAATGGGTTTCTTGAACTGACATTCCATTTTTCCTCTTTCGTCTTGTTTCTTTTGCAGGTTGCTGCTGCAGATGCACTATCAAAATTTTATTACCCACCAGTTGCAGCAATTTCTATTTCATATCCAAGAGAAGCAATTCGGACTGAATGCTTGGTCGGTGGTGAACTAAAGGGCTTTGGTCAATTGCATCCTCGTAGCCAAGGGCTGAAAACTTTAGGTAGATTCGATTTGGTTTGGGAGTTCATTATCTATGCCTATAACTGATGCTTGACATCAGCGATCACCATTTCTTGCTGATTTTTCCCATGGGTTTTGCAGGAACTATATACAGCTCGTCACTCTTTCCTAATTGTGCACCACCTGGAAGGGTTTTGCTCTTGAACTATATTGGAGGTGCCACCAATCCTGGAATTATGTCAGAGGTAAGACGAATGCCATATGATATATGATTTTGTGGTGGGAAAGATGCATGAAGGTGATGATAAGGCTGGTAAGACATGCATTTAAAGTGAATTGATGTTTCTCATAAACTGTCACGAAGGTCTCAAAATGTGCTTCGCTTCATATATGGCACCCTAAAGGAGCACCTACTTTATCCAATATCCCGATTCCTTTTTTGTAATTACCTTCAATAACTATCTGGTGAACGTTTCATTTTGGGCATCAACATTGATACTTAAATTTTTATATGAAATAAAGCATTGATGGGTTTTCATATGAGCACCATAATTGAGCAATCATGCATGAAACTTGGATCTTCATACAGGGCAGAAACTTGTGTTTTGTTAGCAGGCTTTGTTTTCCAAGGCATTGTGCATTGCTGCTTTTCTTCTAGTCTCTCTTTGTGTGCATGAGCACTTGCATGTACATTCAAAATCACATTCTCCTTATTTAAACAGCGCGCATGAGTGTGATTTACATTCTCAATTTTTTTTTGTTCCCAAGCCTTCGATATATTCTTTCTGTTGACTGTTTCTGAAAAATAAAACACTGACAGAAGGAGAGCAAGCTTGTTGAAGCAGTTGATCAAGATCTGAGAAAAGTCCTCCTAAAACGTAATGCTAAGGAGCCACTTGTATTGGGTGTGAAAGTATGGCCACAAGCCATTCCGCAGTTCTTGGTTGGTCATTTTGATGTCCTTGATGCTGCAAAAGCTGGTTTAAGTGATACTGGGACCCAAGGGTTGTTTCTTGGTGGCAACTACGTTACTGGTGTAGCCTTGGGTCGATGTGTTGAGGGTGCTTATGATGTTGCAGCTGATGTGGCTAATTTTGTATCAAAATATACTTACAAATAGTACAGTAAACGGTGATCCTGCATCTTGTAGAAGTGCAGTGTTAGGAAGTAGAACTTAAGATGTTCCTTTGGATGCATCTGTGGCATTAAATAATAATAACAGCTTCAGTGCCAAATTTTGTAATTACTTGAAACTCTGAATGTACTTGATTCTTCTTTCTGTCTTAAATCTTGAGTTGGAAGGCAATTTGTATGAAAATTTTTGGTCTTTGCAGGGTTTTTCCCCTCCACTCCAATTCTATGGTAAAACTCAGTGAGTAGAACATGTGTGAATAATATCTATCAGTTTAGTATTTTTCTTTTGGGGCCAATATTATGCTAGATACTCGTGACTTGTAATAAGTGTTTCTTTGGTAAATATGTTACATCTTTTATAGATAATAGATGCCTACATTCTAAAAGCTCCTCGGTCCACGTACTCATCTCTACTCACACCCACACAATCTTCTTCTAATGCTTTTTGCTATGAATAATTATGGTGCCGCAGTAACTTGAAAAGTGCAAGCAGAACCGCCATTTGTCTAGTCTATGGGTGCTAGGAGGATTAGGGAAGGGGGACCATTAATCTATTTATTGGTATGCTCCTTCCCTTGAACAATAGGGACCCAAGGTGAAGGTTTTGCCAACACACTACTCGTCTCTCAGGGTCAGTGTCGGCCCAGCAGAGTACTTTCTGATCTCTACGCATTTCACCGCTCCACCAAA